AGGTCCTAGCACTGACTGACTTATGGCTGGCCAGGGGGAGGGAGGGCTGCAGAGGCAGACAGTGAGCCGTGGAGGCTCCTCGCCTCCCCCAGACTGTCCTGGGAGGCTGAGAGAGGCTGTCGAAGGCAGTGTGGTCCTCAGACCCAGGCAAGGGTTCCTGCCCTGGGCCCAGAATTGGTGGCCTCTGTCTGGCCCTCTCAGGGTTGAAGGAGCATGCTCAGCTGGAGCCTCACCTCTCCACTCGGGATGGATGTCCAGTACCGCTGAATGCATTGCCCACATGGTGTCCTCTCCAGGCTGCCTGGGGCTCTTTTCTTCTTCCAGCCTCGAGAGGGGGCACTACCTGGCCTGTATGGCTCCTTTCGATCTAAGGGTGGGTGGTAGAGTCTGTGGTCCTGGGAGTAGGTGTGGCAGAGCTTGGGCATCTGGGCTGGGCTGTCCACATGTGGACACTCGAGCTCCCTTGCTGCTGCCTTGAAAGCAGGATAGAGAGAAGGCAGTGGCTGGAGCAGTTCTACTTTCTGGTACCAAACCTTCTAAATGAGAGCCGGGCTTGAGGAAGGGGCAAGACCAGGGTCACATAGCCTAAGCTGGGACTCACCTCTGTCTCTCACCATCTCCCCAGTCTCCAGCTCTGAGGAGTCAGCTTGAAAATGGATATAAGAAGGATGATGGATAGATAAACAGACAGATGGGTAGATGAGTAACAGAAGGAAGAAAAGGAGGGAGGAGAAAATATATATGAATATATATGAATATATGTAAATATATGCATATATATATTTGTATATATATATATATATATATATATAATACACATAAAGTGGCTCCTCATAAGCAGGTAAAGTGGTTGTATTGTTCGCCCCATTTTCTAGATCAGAAAATTGAGGGCTAGGGATGAGTGACCATCCAGGGTCACAGGCTACTGGTTGACCCTGCGTTTGAACTTGGGTTTGTCTTCCCATCGTGACCCTTCTTGTATGTACTGAGACTGCAGGGTGGAAGGATGGAGGGCCGCCTCTAGGCAGGCCCTGGGAGGGCGGGGGCTGCAGGCAACCCCAAGGCCCCACTTCTAGAAGAATTGCTGGAAGCAACTTTCTATAAGTGGCTATGAGCACTCAGGACCTCCTCACTGAAATCCCCCCTTCCTGCCACCAACCTCTGCCCCAACAATGGCATCTGTGGGACACTGGCACAAAAATAGAAACTGGATTTCCCACCCTGCGGCTCGGGGAAGGGGCTGGGACAGGCTCAAGCTGGCAGGGATGGGGGCAAGGGGCTGGCTAGTCTGCCTTGTCCTGGCTGGGTCCCAGAATCTCCAGGAGCCCATCCGGAAGACTAGGAGCCTGGGCTGGGGGCAGGCAGGCCCCTAGGAGCCGGGGCTGGGGACAGGCAGGCCCCTTTCTTTGTCGCTGGGGGAGGGAAGAAGGAAGTCAGTGTGTGTGTGTGTGTGTGTGTGTGTGTGTGTGTGAGTCAGGACGGTGGGAGGGAAATGTTTGCTGTGGAAACCCTGCCTAGGTTTTACTGTAATGAGTAGGCCTTCAGCTAGGCGTAAGGGCTCAGAGAATCTGAGCACCCTACTTTCCAACCTCCTCGAGTGTCCAAACGGCTCACTTTCTGTGCCATCCTAGCTGGTGGCTGCCCCACATGGGGCCTCAGCGCCCAACATTGCCCAACTCCACTGGAAAGGATTTCATGATCATTGAGAGTTTGGTTTATGAGTTCTGGGAGAAGAGCTGAGAGTTCTGTCATGTTTGTGTCCTGACCCCTAAGATTTTCTTCTTATACCCAGAAACTTGCCTGGAATTTGTGCCTAGCCCTGTATTCACCCCATTTCACAAATGGGGAAAGTGAGACGCAGAGGGACAGCAGCAGGATTGCTGCACCAGGGCTTTTTTCCTGTCTGCTCAGGGCTGTGCTTCTGCCTGCTGCAGCCATGAGTGTCCAGGGAGGTTGATGATGATGGAGTGTGTGTGTGTGTGTGTGTGTGTGTGTGTGTGTGTGTGTGTGTGTGTGTGTGTGTGTGTGTGTGTATGTGGTGTGTGTGTACACTAGGGTTTAAACTCAGGCCTTCAAACTTGGTTTTTTCACTCAAGGCTGGTTCTCTACCACTTGAGCCACAGCTCCACTTCCCACTTTTTGGTGGTTAATTAGCGATGAAGGATCTCATGGACTTTCCTGCCCAGTCTGGCTTTGAACTTCAATCCTCAGATCTCATCCTCCTGAGGAGCTAGGATTAAAGTTGTGAGCCATCTGCAAATATTAAATAACATATACATGGTTTTGTTTGTGCTAGTCCTGGGGCTTAAACTCATGCCTCACACTCTCCATTAGCTTTTTTTTTTTTTATTAGAGGCTGGCTGGTCTACCATTTGAGCCATATTTCTACTTCCAATGATAGTTTCTTGGTTTCAGTCTGCCAAAGTATGGGGCCTGTCCACTTTCCCCTATATGCACTTGAAGTTCTCTCCTTTAGTAAGGACAAAGAGATGGTGCTGGAGAGGGGTGGGGAGAACCCAGAAGTGGGTTTGAGAAGGAAGACAGTCCTGGATAGAGCTGTCCAGTGGTCAAGCTCTGGCTCATGTGCTCTGTGCTCCTGACTTTGGCACTCACCCTTGGCTCTCAGCAGCTTCCTCCCCTATACCTCTAGATACCTACCTGTGAAATGGAAGAATGCCTGTCTCTTGCTTTGGTTAGCTGGCATGGCTACATGCTCAGGACAGGACCAGGCATGAATGAGATTGAATGGTGAGAAATGACTGATAGGTAGTTGTTTTTTCAACTGCTTTACTAAGATGAAATTCACCCATTCACAGAGGACAGTTGAATGGGTTTTGTATATACACAGAATTGTACAACCAGATTCCATTGTTGGAGTGAATAACTCGTAATGCAGCCAGGGCAAGCACAGTGAGCCTGCTCTGGCTCTCCACACCACTCAAGTGAGTTGTGCTTTGCTTTGCTCAGTTTCAAGTAGCAATCATAACTATAAACTGAATTGTTCTGGATGGGCACTGGTGGTTCATGCCTGTAATCCTAGCTCCTTAGGAGGCTGAGATCTGAGGATCAAGATTTAATGTTAGCTTGGGTAGGAAAGTCCATGAGACTTATCTCCAATTAACCGCCAGAAAGCTGGCAACAAATCTGTGGGTCAAATGGCAAAGGGCTAGCATTGAGCAAAAAAAAGCTCAGAGACAGTACCCAGGCCCTTAGTTCAAGTCCCAGGACTAGCACGAAAAAAAAAAAAAAAAGAAAGAAAAGGACTAAAAATGAGATGCTATTGTTTGCTCTTTTTTGGTTGTTGTCTTAAATAAAGCTCTTGCTCACTGAGAGGACTTAGGGTGTCATTATTGAGTAATGGAAATATTTCTGAGCGGATTTTTCCAGGGACTAAAACACTGTCTTTGGCTTTGTGACATCGCTCCAGGAAGAGGCAAGGAGATGATTAGAAGCCCAATGCAAAAACTTTCCACTGCTATGTCCATTGGAAATAGCTTCTCCTGTGTCATAGTTCAGAGGAGACAGAGGAGACGTCTGGGCTGGCAGTTTGGCTGCCGGCCTTTGAGAGCTGCCGGGGCAGAGGCTGGAGCTGGCATCTGTTTGAAGAAAGCATTTGGCTTCCAAGGCACTGAGCTGGGTCAGGCTCTGTGCTCACCTGCTTATTCATACCCTAGCTCAGAAAGTCTTAAAGCAAAGCAGAGACCACTCTTTTGTATGCCTGTGTTTGCGTATGTGAATGCCAGTACTGTGGTTTGAGCTTTTCTGCTCAAGGTTAGAACTCTACCACTTGAATGCCCTTCCAGCTTTTTATTAGCTAATTGGACATAGAGTCTCATGAACTTTTCTACTTGGGTTGGCTTTGACCTGTGATCCTCAGATCTCAGCCTCCTGAATAGCTAGGATTATAAGCATGAACTATCAGCACGAAGCTATTTTAGTAATTTAAAATAGGCCAAACTAGAAGTCTCCTGTATGCTAAGCACATGCTGTAGTGCTGAGCTGTACTCTCAGCCCTCAGGAGAACAAATGTGGATGCCACGTGAAAGCTGGAAGCAGAGTGGTCTCCAGGGACACTCAGAGGACAATGGGGAAGGAAGGTCACTAATTCCGGGCATAGGGCACTATCCGTTGTATAGATAGATGTTCATAGACCCAGCATACAGCAGATACTCAAGAAACAACAAATCTTGCCAGAAGTGATGAGTCAGTATCTGGAATCCCAGCTGAGGTAGAATGATCTTAAGTTCAAGACTAGCTAGGACTAGCCCTATGAAGAAAAGAAAAAAGGAGAGAGGGATGGAAGGAGAGACAGTAAGGAAGAAAGAGAGAGAGAGAATATCTTAGCCAAGCATCTGTAATCCTAACTACCCAGGAGGCTGAGGTCCATGTTTCAAAGCCGGCCTGAGCAGGAAGGTCCATGAGATTACTATCTCCAGTTACACACCAAAAGCCTGGGAGTGAAGCTGTGGTTTAAGTGGTAAAGTGCCATTCTTCAGTGAAAAAGCTAAGGGACAGTGCCCAGCCCGAGTTTAAGTCCTAGTACTAGTGCATCCTTCCTTTCTTCCTTCTTCCTTCCTTCTCTCCCTCCTCCTATTTTTCTTCCACCTTCTTCCTTTGTTTTCTTCTTACCAGTCCTGGGCCTTGAACTTAGGGCCTGGGTGCTATGCCTGAACTTTTTACTCAAGGCTAACTTTACCCTCAAACCACAGCTCCACTTCTGGTTTTTTTTAGTGGTTCATTGTTAGTGCCTGGGCTGGCTTTGAACTGGGATAATCAGATCTCAGCCTCCTGAGTAAGTGTGAGCAACCAGCACCTGGCTTTTCTCAATTGACTGTTCACTTATTCAGCATGTGTTTATCTATTTTCTGGGCATGTCTGGAGGTCCAGGCACTGCTCTGTGCACAGGTACTAGGTGACAGAGGGGAACAGGGAGAATCGTCCTTCTGGTGGCCTGACCTATGCATGTGTAACTGGTGTGTATCTCCTGGTTCCTTCCCCAGGAGGTGGCACAGCTCGAGCTAACTCTCCAGGCATCCAAGCGCAATGGCAGCCAGCATCGAGAGGTGTTTCTGGTTCTCGTCGTGAACAAGAGTACCTTACTACAGCTCCAGGCACCAGGAATCCCACTGCACTTGGCCTACGTGAGTGTACTGGCCATTCAGCTCCCTGCCGTCCCTTCCTGTGGGCCAGGCCCCCGACAAAGTGCCCAGAGGGTAGCAGAACCTGGGACAAAGGAGTCCGGATGGGGAGGTGGGAGTCGGGCTGATGTGCAACCTTGGTCGGCTCTGCATAGTCTGTTTGCCCATCTGTCCAGGGGGCAGTTGGACCCAGTTGGTATTCCATTGACTCATCCTTTCACTATAGATGAAAAAGATACAAGGCATCTAATTTGAAAATGCAAAAGCACAAAGGGAAAGGGCTCAGAGGCAGCCTAACAATATGTCCATAGCAGGTACGATTAGGAGAGACATTAGTTTGTTCTTTGTACTTCCTTGAATTTGCCAGAATTTCTGTAGTTGATGTGGCTCATAATGGAGGAAAAACAACAACAACAACAAAACCTTGTGGCTCATGCCTGTAATTTTGTCATTCTAACGACTCAGGAAGCTGAGATCTAAGGATTGTGGTTTGAAGCAAGCCCAGGCAGGAAAGTCTGTGAGATATTAGCTTTCATTTTCACCAGCAAAAAGCCAGATGTGGAGGAATGGCTCAAGAGGTAGAAAGCCAGCCTTTAGTGAAAAAGCCAAGGGAAAATGTGAGGCCCTGAGTCCAAGCCCCAGTATACACACACACACACACACACACTCTCTCTCTCTCTCTCTCTCTCTCACTGTGAGGCCCTGAGTTCAAGCCCCAGTACCAACACACACACTCTCTCTCTCTCTCTCCCCCTCTCCCCCCTCCCCTCCCCTCTCCAAGCCCCAACACACACACCCTCAAGTTTTAAGCGTGAACTGCATCCAGGCCAACTGGCTTTGTCCTATGGCAGGGGCTCAGAGCTGGGGGAAGCAGGGAAGCCTGGAAGCCCTGCCTCCTCGTTATAAAAGGAGGGTCCTGAGAGGTTGCCCAGGCAAAGCAGCTGTCAGTTACAGCCACAGCCCAGCCCAGAAACAGAGCACACAACCAAGCAGAGACAGAAATCATGGAAGTAACGAGGACCAGTGGGATTCACAGACTGGGCACAGACGCTTGTCGAGGGGATACCCTTAAGAGGGAGAAGGGAATGGGGACAGGCCCAGTGTGAATTGGGGTACAGACCCAAACAGGGAAGTTAGGAGGGCAGCTGAGGGGAAGAATCAAGGACAGAGAGAGGCCAAGAGCCAGACAGATGGACTTGTGAAGGGGCATGTGTGGAAGGGAGAGGGGATGGTCTGGCTGAGGCAGAGGAGCTAGCTGGGGGGTCTGGGCGGACGGCACACCCACCAGCCTTGGCAGTCTCAGCCAAACTACCTCCTGCATATGGCAGGGACTCAGCACTCTATGTCTCCCCAGAATCCCAGCCTGGTCATCTTCAAAGAGCCTTCAGGAGTCAACTTCACACAACTGCCGCCCTTCTCTGTCAACAACCAGATCCTTGAATGGGCAGCTGCAAAGGGTCCCATCTCCTCTATCGCAACACTAGAGGACCCCAGCCACATCCTCCTCCGGCTGGGCCAAGGTCAGTGTCTGAAGCAGCCTCTCTGGGCTCAGGTTCAGCTCTGGAGGAATGGAAGCTCACACAATGGGTCTGTGGTGGGATGTGATGTGTTCTAGGTCACACACAGCAAGTCAGTGGCCTTTGGGGGCAGTGATTACTCCTTTATCAAATATCAGATTGAGCCATGTGAAATGCCAAGAGCCTGAGCTCATGCCTGTAATGCTAAAATACTCAGAAGGTTGATATCTGAGAACTGAAGTTCAGAGCCAGCCAGGTGGGACAAACAAATCTGAGAGACTCATCTCTGAATAACCAGAAAAAAAAAGAAGTGGAGATGTGGCTCAAGTGGTAGAGTGTCAGCCTTGAGTAAAAAGCCAAGAAAGAGATGAGAGGTCCTGAGTTCAAGCCCCAATACAAGCTCCCAAAACAAAGGACTAGGGTATGTGGCTCAGGAGCTATAGCTCCTGCCTAGCAAGTATGAGGCCCTGAGTTTAAACCTCAGTTCTGCTACTAGAATTTTTTTTTAAAGGGGACCTTGTATGCACCTATCAAGTGCCAAGTTGGTCATAAGGCACTTGGAAATTCTTTCCGGTTTGGTTAAATGCTGTAAGGAAGATTGAAGTAGAATGGTGTCCTGGGGGGGCGGCAGGGCTGCATCCCTACTTTGTGTTGCCCCTACTATGTGCCATGGGGTCCAGGTTTACATTAACTCTTTGTTGGCAGATGAAGAAACAGAGCTTCCAGACCTTTCACAAGGGCAGCCAGCAGGTAAGTGGTAGAAGAGAGATTTGAACCCAGGTTCTCCTAGGCTTCCAGCCTATGAGGCTCTGGGAGGTGGGGGTGGGTTCTGTGTGAAGGGCAGGTGGGGGCTGTTTGGAGGACTGAAATGCCCTGTGTTTGCAGCCCAGAAGCTACCACACTTCTGTCTGCCTGAAGACCATCAGGACATGGGCCGCACACTCGAATGGCAGCCACGGGTCCCTGTTTCCATCCTGGGCTGCCGCCTGGATGGTGTGACTGGCCACAAAGAGGCACATATCCTAAGGATCCTGCCTGGTCCCAAGGCCGAGTAAGGAGACCGCCCCCCCCCCCCACACCTCTTCATTCCCTACCCGCTCCAGCACCAGGCTCCACTCCAATCAGACACCAGACCATTAATAGCCCCGCCCCTCAGAGTCAGCATAGTGGTCTCCTCCTGTCTCCAGGCCCTTCCCACATAGTGGGTCTACATCTGGCTCCAGTCCCAGGCCAAGTAAAATCAGAGTCCCTGCTCACCCCAGCCCACCTGTTCATCCCTTCATTCCTCCCTCCCCCCCCCCCCCCACATGCCCTGACCAGGCAGTCTGTCCACTGCAGGCCTCGGACAGTGACGGTAAAGGTGGACCTCAACTGCACATCTAGAGACCCTGATGCCATCCTCATCCTGCAGGGTCCCCCCTACGTGTCCTGGCTTATCGATGCCAACCACAACATGCAGATCTTGGTGAGCCTTGCACCTGTTCCCTGAACCCCTGTCTTCCTCTATCATGCTGCCTTGCCTTACCAGCACTCAGGACTGAGCCCAGGACAGTCCTCTGCACCAGCACTGTACCTCAATCCATCACCTGGCTTTCCTACCTCCTCCGGCAAGCTTTCCCTGACTGGTTGGGGAGCCCCCGCCCCCAGCCTACCAGATTGAGGAAGACCCCTGCAGAAATGAACACTTAGTTGAGTTGAAGGAAAAAGAGAAGCCAGTAGAGAGAAGAAGGGTGGCCAGGCAGAGGAAAGGGAGGTGTGGAGGGAAGAAAAAGTGAGACTGATAGCTGGTAACATCTTGGCTGCCCTGTGTTAGTCCTGACCATCCCCTGGCCTCTGAGTCTAGCTGTGGCTCCCTGTTCTGTCTTTCTCCCCACCTTCAGACCACTGGTGAATACTCCTTCAAGATCTTCTCGAAGAAGAACATCCATGGCTTTGAGCTCCCAGACACACCCCAAGGCCTGGTGGGACAGGCCCGGAAACTCAATGCCAGCCTTGTGGCCTCCTTTGTGGAGCTCCCGCTGGCCAGTGCTGTCTCTCTGCGGGCTCCCAGCTGTAGTGAGTCCCTGCCCCTGCCCCTGCCTTTCCTCCTCACCCCTAATGGATCACTGGCCAATCTCAGTCTCCCATCTGCAACCTGTGGGGACAGGAAGTACTCAGTGACTGTCTTCTTGGCCCCTCTCTGCTGCCCTCAGGTGGTGAACCACAGACCTCCCCTGCACCGGTCCTGACCACCCCGCCAAACAGATGTGACCCTGACCTGCTTCTGTCCCTGATTCGGCCAAAATGTACCAGTGGTGTCATGACTCTGGCACTTAGGAAAGACCACCTGCAGGTAACAGGACACCTGTCCCTCACCTCAGGCAGACAAGAACAGTAGGTCCCTTCACCAGCCCAAGAATCTGAGGGGCCTAGACCAGGCAGGTGAGCAGGATGTGCAATGCAAGTTGATTATGGTACCTACCACTTGAGAATTCAGTCATGTTTGACAGCCAGAGCTCTTGGTTTCATATTCATGTTCTCTGTGAAGAACACCAGCATACTTAACATGGTGGCTCAGTCCACCATGTTAAGTAAGAGGTGAGAGGATCGAAGTTCAAAGCCAGCTTGAGCAGAGTGAGAGACACAATTCTATTTATTCTTTCCAAATAGCCAGAGTAACAGACAGAAACCACCTAGCCCAACTTTTTTTCCACTGAGATAGGATCTTGCAAACTTTTTGCCTAGGCTGACCCAAACCGACAATCTTCTCAATCTCTGCCCCATGAGTAGCTAGGATTATAGGTATAAACCACCTTGCCCAGCTAGTTTTAGAACTTTTGGCACTTGTACTTATTAATAAGGTGCTATTTTATTATACTGATGTGCCATAATTAACTTGTTAGCTATTTAAATTGTAATATAAACATGCATAAAATGCATTTTGTATGGATTTTTTTTTTTTTTTTACAATCCTGGGGATTGAGCTCAGGGCCTGGGCTCTGTCTCTGAGCCTCTCCGTACTCAAGGCTAATGCTCTACCATTTGCCACAGCACCACTTGGCTTTTTCTATTTATGCAGTACTGAGGAATCGAACTCAGGACTTCATGTAAGCTAAGCAAGCACTCTACCACTAAGCCTTCCCAGCCTGGAACTTTTTTTATTTGGATTATTTTCTTATGACAGATTGCCACATGAGTGTGATTGTAGAGTCAAAATCTGAAATTTTAATAGACTGCCTACAGGCTTTCCCTGCAACCAGATTTGAATTTTCACTGTGGTTTCAGAGCACTTTGGCCACCTTTCTCCAGATTGTAATTAAAAGCAAAACAAAGACCAAAAAACAAACTTTTGTCAATATGGGAGGTAGAACACGGTGGTCCATTCTTGTTTTTGTTTTTTTTAAGGTGATTCTCTGGTTAGTAAGCATTGACATGGCTAAGTGGGAGTTGTAATTTCTCTTTTTTGCTGAGGCTTGATGTTTTTGTTGGTTTTTTGTGCCAGTCTTGGAGCTTGAACTCAGAGCCTCGACAGCACCTGGGCTGGCTTTAACCCATGACTCTCAGGTCTCGGCCTCCTGAGTAGCTAGGATTATAGGTGTGAGCCACTGACCTGGCTAATTTTTTTTTCATGAGTGCATGCAGATCCTGGGGCTTGAACTCAGGGTCTGGGTGCTGTCCCTTAGCTTTTTTTTTTTTTTTTCATCAAAGCTAATGCTCTACAACTTGAGCCACAGCTCTACTTCTGGCTTTTGGTGATTAACTGGAGATAAGAGTCTCATGGACTTTTCCTGCTTGGGCTGGCTTTGAATCATGATCCTTAGATCAAAGTTTCCCAAGTAGCTAGGATTACAGGCATGAGACACTGACACCTGGCCCAGCTGATTTTTATATCCTTTTTACATAGAAAAAAGTGGCTCATGCCTATAATCGTAGCTATTCAGGAGACTTAGATCTGAGTATTGCAGTTCAAAGCCAGCCTGGGAAGGAAAGTCTATGAGACTCATCTCTAATAAACTACCAAAAACTACCAAAGTGGAACTGTGGCTCAACTGGTAGAGTGCTAGCCTTGAGCAAAAAGAAGCTCAGGGACAGCACCCAGGCCCTGAGTTCAAGCCCCAGAACTGGCAAAAAAAAAAAAGACTAGGAGACTCCATCTGCAATTAACTAGCAAAATGCTGGACTGGAGGGGTGTCTCAAATGACAGAGTACTAGCCTTGAGCAAAAAAGCTAAGAGCAGGAGGCCCTGAATTCAAACCCCAATACCATAAAAAAATTAAAAGAAATTAAGCTTAAATTGTGTAGGATGAAGCTGGGCACTGGTGCTTATGCCTGTAATCCTAGCTACTCAGGAGGCTGAGATCTGAGGATCACAGTTCAAAACCAGCTTGGGCAGGAAAGTCCGTGAGACTCTTACCTCCAATAAACCACCAGAAAACCGGAAGTGGCACTGTGGCTCAAGTAGTAGAGCACTGGTCTTCACCAGAAGAGCTGAGGGACAGCGCCCAGGCCCAGAGTTCAAGCCCCATGACAGACAAAAAAAAATCATATAGGATGATGAACTCCAACAAAAAGGAGGGAGCTGAGGAATGGTGGGGGTTTGGGACCCCTAGATGGAGTCCTCCATGCTGAGGATCCCCCTCAAAGATCTCGGGGCATCCTGACTATGCCACCCTCCCCTCACCCAGACCATGCAGTGCACCATCATGAGCTTGACCTTCTGGGACCCTCGCTGCCAGGCTGAGGACAGCAGTGATCACTTTGTCTTGAGCAGCACCTACTCCCTCTGTGGCATGAAGGTGACAGAACATATGGTCAGCAATGAGGTGAGAGCAGTGTCCCCCTGGTGCCTCCCAGGGCCTCCCCGCTGAGGGGTGTTGGGGGACAGGGTGTGGCAGTCCAGGCGTGGCCATCTGTTAGCGCCTTGCTCCCATCTCATTGTTGAGATGGGACACAACCCTCCCCCTCCCCGGGGTCCTTTCTGGCTCTGACCAGCTTTTTGACTGTTCTCACAGGTGTTCCTCAATTTCCTGTCGGTCACAGGCTCATCATCACTGCAGGTGAGATGGACAGTCACCATGCTACCCTCCTGGTCTAAGATCTGCTGCCTGTTGGGGCTGGAGGCCTTTCCTAGAGGGAACCAATTTCAGGAAACGCAGACCCTGGCCAGCCCAGAATCGCCAGTGTGCCAATTTTCCCTTCTATACAATAGGAACAATGCTGCTGAGGGTTCTGCCCTTAGCTTCAAGTCAGAGGATTTTAGTACCTTTTGCCTATTGGCCTTGGGCAAATTACTTAATCTCCTGGGCCCAGAGGTAAACTCTTACATGAAACCAGCCAGGTGCTGGTGCCTCACGCCTATAATCCTAGCTACTCAAGAGCTGAGATCTGAGGATCACAATTCAAAGCCAGCCCAGGCAGGAAAGTCCATGAGACTCTAGTTTCCAGTAAACTACTTAGAAAGAGCTAGAAGTGGCACTGTGGCAAGTGGTAGAGCACAAGCCTTAAACACAAAGAAGCTTAAAGACAGTGCCCAGGCCCTGAGTTCAAGTCCTAAGACTGGCAAGAAAAGAAAGAAAAAAGAAATGACCCCATCCCTAGGGGTCATAGGAGCTGTCACTGGAATAAGACATGGATGTTCTTGATAAGCCAGGCTTCAGTAGCTCACATACGTAATCTTAACTCATCAGGGGGTTAAGATCTGAGGATCAAGGTTTGATGCCAGCCTGGGCAGGAAAAGTTGGTGACTCTTATTTCCAATTGACCAGCAGAATGCCAGAGTAGAGGTGTGGCTCAAGTGATAAAACACCAGCCTTGAGTGAAAAAGCTAAGGGGCAGCACCCAAGCAGTTCTTATTTACTAACTTTATTAAAAATAATATATTTTATTGTTATTATTAAGGTACAGAGGGGTTATGGTGTTATAAAAGAAGATGAAGCAACTCTGAGCCACAGCTTAGTGCCAGCCCCTCACCCCTCACTTTCCTGGCTGGTGCCACCCAGACTGATCCAGCCTCCTTCCTGTCCCCCACAGAAAAAAGTGTACTGCCTTGACGTGGACAGCCTCTCCTTTCAGATGGACCTCTACCTCAGCCCCAAATTTCACCAGACCTCCAGCACCATTGAACTGGGCCAGCAGGGTTTTGTGCAGGTACCTAGCAGCCTAACCCCACAGTTCCCCCTAACTCCTGGCATTCCCTGTGAATCTGAATCCTAGCTCCTCAAAAGGCTGAGATCTAAGGATCATGGTCAAAGCTAGACCAAGCAGAAAAGTCTGTGAGACTCTTATCTCCAATTAACCTCTCAAGCTCAAAGTGGAGTTGTAGCGCAAGTGGTAGTGTGCCAGCCTTGAGCAAAAAAGCTCAAGGACAATGCCTAGGCCCTGGGTTTAAGCCCTACTACTGGCTCAGGTGTGGACATGTCCATGTGTGTGGGCGCGTGCACATTCATGCATGCGCACGTGCGCACACGCACCCACACACACACAGCCCCTGCCACCCTTCACCGCTCTTATATCCCATGCAGGTGAGCATGCTTCCAGTGGTCCCTGAGACTGTGCTCCAGCTACTCAGCTGCTATCTGGATTTGGGATCAGAGGCGGACAAAGTGGAACTCATCCAGGACCAGGCCGCCAAAGGCAGCTGTGTGAACCTGCTGTCCCCAAGCCCCAGTGGTCACCCACGCTTCAGCTTCCTCCTCCGTGTCTACATGGTGCCCACTCCCATGGCTGCCACCCTCACTTGCAACATAGCCATACATCCTGGGGCCATGTTGAAGGTAAGTGGGGCCTGGCTCAGGCCCAGCTCCAAGCGTGGCTTCCGGATCTGAGGTTCTAGGCAGGCATGTGGCAGCCTAGTGGGAATAGCTCGTGACAGACAGAGCCACTCTCAGGCATGTGGCTTGGCATCTGGCTGTCAGAGGCACGCTTGCTGCCACCCTAGAACCTTCTGGGGGTGATTGCTGTGTCCTGGCATCAAAAAGATACACAACTATCCATCCATTTATTATTCTGTGTATTTGTCCATCTGCCCATCTATCTGTTCATCTATTCATCCATCCACTTGCCCACCAATCCATCCATTCATTCATTCACCCACACATCGATCCATCCATCCACTCACTCACCATCCATCCTTCCATATCCTCCTGTCATTCATTCATTCTTCATGCTACGATCATCAATGTGCCCAATGAACAGATGACCTTAGGGAAGAGGGACAACAAAATCCTGATTTTCTGCCTTTGCTGATGTCAACACTTTACTGTCCAGTGAAATCTCCATTCTCAGGGAACTCAGCCCTGGACACACCCAGGTCTTTGTACACAGAAAGTTCCCCAGAATTAGAAACCTCAGTGGTTAAGCTGAGAAGCCTTCAGAGCCACACTGAATGGGCATCTATCTCCTTGAGCCAATGAGCTCCACTCCCTGGGCCGGCTGCTTCCTACCCTAAGGCACACAAATACAGAGTAACAAATACAGAGTGCCCACAAAGCTCACAGGGTGACTCCTGGGAAACTCCCAGGGCACACATCCCCCAGGACTTGCCCACAGCTCACAGCTAGCATGCAGTGGAGGGGAGACTCCTGCCGAGGCTCCAGGTGGGGCTGACAAGGGGGGCACAGAGCCAGGCAAGTCCAGGTGCCTCTTGCCAAAGGCTGACACAGTCTCTCCCCCTCCTCCAGGATGCCTACGAGCCCGTCTTCAAGCTTGTCTCCAGGCGCCTGAACGTCGTCAGCCCTGACTCGTCTGGTGAGTGCCAGCTGGTCCTTTTAGGCTTGTCCCAGGAGCTGGGGTGGGGGGGGAACAGTAGTCCACTGGAGACCACTGTTGGAGGTAGGCCAAGCACACACAGCAGAGAATCCAAGATCTGCTGCCCTCAAGAAGGCCAGAAGGGCTTCTTAGGCCCCAAGAGCTAGAGTTGGAAGCAGCAGGTTGCTTCTTAGAGATGGACACACTCACATCCGCCCTGTGGGCCCCACTCCTGGCCTCTAGCTCCGTCCTCTGTCCCCTCGGAGGCTCGTGGACCTTACTGTGAATGGGGATGCCTGGATGGAGTGTGAACCTTGGGCATGGTGCTGGCCTTGGCTTCCCCCAAGGACCTCAGCCCAGCACGTTCCAGCCTTTTTATGAACTCCCCTGGGCCCCGACACCACCAGGCAAGAATGCCACTGATGCTGTTGGGGGAAGGGCACCTGCCATTCTGTGTCCTCCACCCCCAGCTGAGACCAAAAAAACAGCAAATAACGCCAGTGCATATGGCAAGTCTGAGGCCCAAGAGGAGGCCACCAGGCCCAGGGCACACAGGACCCAGGAGTATGGAATGAGTCTTAGATGACCAGACAGCTCAAGTCTTAAAACGTGCTCTGGCCCATTCTAATCGAGTACAGGGCTCAGAGAGGGGCATGGGCTGACCTAAGATCACCCAGCAGAGCAGAGCAGGCTGTGGGCTCCCTTGGTCCCTTTTACTCTTTGCCTACATTATACCATCCATGTTCCCTAAAAACAAACAAACAAAAAAAGGCTTCTCTACCAGCCTTAGGAGGCAGAAGCATGGTCCAATAGGCCTGGCTGGGGTGATGGTCAAAGCTTAGCTCCGCCAGGACGGGGCAGTGGCACTCACGGTTGCCCGCCCTCCCCTGGTCTTGCAGGTAACCACCTGGTCCTGTCCACTGTGCTGGGCATCACCTTTGGCGCCTTCCTCATTGGGGCTCTGCTCACTGCGGCCCTCTGGTACATCTACTCGCACACACGTGAGTATCTCGGGAACCAGCAGTGAACATTCAGGGTCCCTCCATTACCAACCTCCCCTGGGGGTGCCCGGGAGGCCCCTGAGAGAGTGGGGAGTCCTGGCTGGGGCCCTGACCTCCGCCCCTGCCCGCGCCCCCAGGTTCCCCCAGCAAGCGGGAGCCCGTGGTGGCGGTGGCTGCCCCGGCCTCCTCTGAGAGCAGCAGCACCAACCACAGCATTGGGAGCACCCAGAGCACCCCCTGCTCCACCAGCAGCATGGCGTAGCACCCGCCCTGGAGCCCCGGGGGCCTCCCAGCCAGCCCTGGCCTTGGCGGAGAGCCCGAGCAGCCACCAGCTGGGAACCACTGGCCATGAACTCGCCCCAGGACCCCAGTGCCTCCACTCACCCGACCATGGAGAGTGCCCTCTGCATCTGCCCCTCCCACCCGCCTCTCAGAGGCCTGCTACCAGCGGGGACATCAGCCTGGAACATCATGGGGTCCCCCCACCCTGTTCTACAGAGCCTTCCGCTCCAGGGTCTCTGGGATGTGACTGCCCGGGCATACAGCCAGAAAGGCCGCTGCCCTGAAGTCCCTGCATTTTAACCTGGATTCTGCACCAGTGAACAGCACGGGCCAAGCAGAGCCAGCCCAGCTCCAGGCTGGCTGAGAGTCCTCCTCCGCGGGAACAGAAGAGGGTCTGCAAAGCCACCTGTATCTGGTCCCTGTGACCCCCACTCTTGGACTAACACAACTTTGGTGGGGGAAACAGAAGCTGAGGGCTACTCTGCTCTGGAGCCCAGAGGCTGGCCACAACAGTGGAGCAGGGAGAGCCCAACTCCTCCCAGAGCCCCTCCCAGCCCCATGGGCAGCAGCAGGTGGCTGATGGCCAGGTGCTGGTCTTGGGCCCACCCTTGTATATTCACCACCAATAAATCCGACATAAAACCAGTGCTGGGCTGGCAAGGGGAAGGGGCCCAGGGGGTGGAGGGATGCCAGGAGTCGGGGGGAGAACAGGGCTGCACCTCCACCCCTGGAGTGGTGGCAGGTAGGGCATCCTGAATGGTAGCAGGTGGCTAGAGCCCACCAGATTTGGGTTAAACTAGTATCCTTTTGCAGGGCGCCTGTGGCTCGTGGCTATAATCCTAGCTACTCAGGAGGCTGAGATCTGGGGATCGTGGTTCAAAGCCAGCCCAGGCAGGAGAGTCTGTGAGACTCTTATCTCCAATTAACCACCAGAAAACTCCAAGTGGTGCTGTGGCTCAAGTGGTAGAAAACTTACTTTGTGCTGAAGAGCTGAGGGACAGTGTCCAGACCCAGAGTTCAAGCCCATGACAGACCAAAAAAAAAAAAATAACCAAAACCAAAGCAAACTTGGGCAGAAAAGTCTGTTAGACTCTTACCTTCAATTAATCAGCAAAAAGGCCAGGTGCTGGTGGCTCATACCAGTAAATCTACTAAGGAGGCTGAGATCTGAGGATCATGGTTCAAAGCCAGCCTGGGCAGGAAAGTCCATGAGACTAATCTCCAATAAACCACCAGAAAACGAAGTGGTGCTGTGGCTCAAGAGTTAGAGTGCTAGCCTTGAGCTGAAGAGCTGAGGGACAGTGTTCAGGCCCAGAGTTCAAGCCCCACAACAGACAAAAAAAAATTAGCAAAAAGCCAGAAGTGAAGCTGTGGCTCACATGCTAGCCTTGAGTGGAAAAGCTAATGGATAGTACTCAAGCTGTGTTCAAACCTCAATACACACACACCACGCCCCCTTGTGCTGCTCACTCATTTGGTGGTCTACCCTGGGAATGAGGCTGAGAAACCAAACACAAGAGGTTCTGATCACATTCACTCTGGGGTCAGAACGCAGGCCCTGAGAGCCCTAGGCTCTAATCCAGAGCTACTTACCAGCTGTGTGACTAGACCTGCCACATGTGGCCCCTCAAAGCCAGCCACTACCCCCTCATCTGTAAAATGGGCATGATGCTAATCACAAGTCTGTAGAGTCTGCAGAGCCTTGGTCTACCTGAGGCTCAGAGAGGATGTGTCCCAGAGCACATTGCCACTATATAGTTCCTATGCCACTTCCTATGCCAGCTATGCTCCCAGCCCCTAATTGCCATGAGAGAGAAAAGGCAATCAAAGGTCCTGTCATTCCTTTAAAAAAAAAAGTTACAAGGCTTTAATTCAACCCAGCCAACTTCTGTCTCTAGGACATCCCAGGCAGGGGCCTCTCCTTTCCCCAAAGACACTGGGAGAAGGAAACCTATCACCAGCACCCAGCAGGAACCTAGGCCAGTCAGGTAGCTCCTACAATGAGCTAGGCCTGAGCCACAAGGCAGACTGGGTAGAAGGAGAGACGGATTAGACTACAGGCATCTCCAACAGTAGGTTCTGAGAAGGCCCCCATTGCCTTGGCCAAAGACAATGCCTCTCCCAGCCTTCTATTCCATCACCCAGAGCCGGGGTCCTGGGTCAGTCTTGACAGAAGAAAGCAGAAGTCAAAAGGCATCTGATATTAAGTTCACAAAGGGATGCCAGCTGGAGGCTCCCACCTCCAGCCCCACTGTCTTGACTACTGGGACAGGGAAGGGTCCAGAAGCTTTAGGACACCACCCACCAAGTGCAGGCTGCCAGTGACCAGCACATGGATGGCAGCAGCTTCACGGAGAACGTTGGCCCCGCTGCTGGCCATGGGGTGAGTAAGGAGGTTCCGTGAGGGGCTGGGGGGCTGAAAGACAGGGTCCCGGCCTTGGCTGATCCACTGTAAGGCATGTGATATGCAGCTGAAGACAAGGGAGCTGGTATTGCAGGGGCGGGGTGGGTGAGATGCCAGTAGCAGAGAAGCAGGCCCGCCAAGCCCTGGGTTCGAAGGACTCCAGATGTCTGGGCTGTTTTGTTCCTTGTCCAGACAACTCCAGTGCTGCTGATGTTGGAAGCAGCGGAGCAGCACCTGGTCCAGTGTCACAGTGAAGTTCTGCTGGTCTGAGAGGCAGAGACAGGCATATCAGCGGAGGGGTTGGGGGCCGAGGGTGGAGAACCACAGCAGGCATCTACTTAACTCTAGACACTAGACAGACTCTGCCCATGGCTTCCACATTGGACACTGAGGAAACTGAGGCTCATTAAAGTTCAATGACATGCCCACGGTCAGGAAAAGCAGAGCCAGACAGTCAATAGTCTAATATTAAGTGGGTGTAAACATTTCAGGGAGGGCTGGGAAGGTGGCTCAGTGGTAGAGTGCTTGCCTTGCATGCATGAGGCCCTGGGTTCGATTCCTCAGCACCACATAAGCAGAAAAAGCTGGCAGTGGCGCTGTGGCTCAAGTGGTAGAATGCTAGCCTTGAGCTGAAGAGCTGAGGGACAGCACCCAGGCCCAGAGTTCAGACCCCACAGCCAAAAAAAAAAAAAAAACATTTCAGGGAGATCGCAAGCCGGGCGCTGGTGGCTCACACCTATAATCCTAGCTAATCAGAAGGATGAGATCTGAGGGTCAATATTTGAAGCCAACCCAGGGAGGCAAATCCTGGAGATTCTTACCTCTAATTAACCAGCAAAAATCTGCAAGTGGAGCCGTAGCTCAAGTGGTAGAGTACCAGCCTTGAGCTAAAAAAGCTATGCAAGAGCAGAAGGCCCTGAGTTCAAGTCCCAGAACACGCACGCACACACGCATGCCCAGCTTTTTTTTTATTATGAAAATACCGTAAAGAGGAGTTACAATTAGATGGGCAAGATAATGAGTACATTTCTTATCAAGCATTGTTGCCTCCTCCTTTGTTTCCCCTTCCTATCCCTTCCCATCTCTCCCTACACCCCCCATTTTTCCCCCTCCCCCCATAATCCCAACTTTTAAAAATCACAATGCATAGTAAAAAACAAATTTTACCCTGCAACCCAGTACTTGTGTACTTACATATATGCTTAGAATAAAATCTTTACCAACTGGAATCTCTCCTTGCTTCAAGAAATGCACAGATATTTTCTATTCTACTCTCTTTCATCTAGAGTAACAAATGTCCAGGCACTGGTGGCTCAGGCATGTAATCCTAGCTACTCAGGTGGGTGAAATATGGGCAGAAAAGTCAGTAAGACTCTATCTCAAAAAAAAAAAAAAAGCCAAAACCAGGGCTGGAGGTATGGTTCAAATGGTAGATACTAGCCTAGCAAGCATGAGGCTCTAAGTTGAAACCCAAATAAACTGAATAAACCCAATACAGCTCTGAGGATGTGGCTTAGCAGTAGAACGCTTGCCTGGCATTTGAGAGAGACCCCAGGTCTGATCCCCAACACTGCAAAAAACAGAGTAACAAATGCTGGTCAAGACCCATTAAATTAATTTCAGTAAACAGGATGGAGCGGGGCTGGGAAAGTGGCTCAGTGGTAGAGCGCTTGCCTTGCATGCATGAGGCCTTGGGTTCAATTCCTCAGCACCACATAAGCAAAAAGAAAAAACCCGGAAGTGGCGCTGTGGCTCAAGTAGTAGAGCACTAGCCTTGAGCTGAAGAGCTGAGGGACAGCGCCCAGGCCCAGAGTTCAGGCCCCACAACCGGATCTCCCCCCCCCCCAAAAAAAGAAAAGGATCCCTTTGGGCTGGGAAGGTGGCTCAGTAGTAGAGTGCTTGTCTTGCAAGCATGAGGCCCTGGGTTTGATTCCTCAGTACCACATAAGCAGAAAAAGCTGGAAGTGGCGCTGTGGCTCAAGTGGTAGAGTGCTAGCCTTGAGCTGAAGAGCTGAGGGACAGCGCCCAGGCCCAGAGTTCAGGTCCCACGACCAACCAAAAAAAAAAAACAGGATGGATTGAAACCTACTTCTTGGAAACTATTCTGATTTATTTATTCATTTATTTAGTCAGTTGTGGGGCTTGAACTCTGGGCCTGGGCACTGTCCCTGCACTCTTCAGCTCAAGGCTAGCACTCTACTACTTGAGCTATAGCACCACTTCTGGTTTTTCTGGTGGTTTATTTGAGATAAGAGTTTCACGGACTTTCCTGCTCGGGCTGGCTTTGAACCGTAATCCTCTGATCTCAGTCTCCTGAGTAGCTAGGATTACAGGCCTGAGCCACCAGCGCCCAGCAGTCTCTGATAATTTTTGTATTGCAGCTACATGATATCAGTTCAAATACACCAAAGACTACCTGTACAGCAAAACAAATGTACCTCCTATCTCACACTTGCAGTTTAGAAGCCCCCGCTATACACAGAGTAGCCCACCTCAGGGTCCTTAGCCCGAGGCATCACACCTATAACCTCTCACCTGCGTTGCCTGTGGATGACACCTCTGTCAGGTTAGGGCAGAAAACAGCATAGTCAAACCGGCAGGGCTAGGAGGCCAAGGGAAAGATTTGGTGTCTGAGTTAAAAGAAAGGCTCCTCACCAACCCCCATTCCCAGGAGCCACAAGAATCTGCCCATCCCTGAACTACAGTGACACTACAGGCCATGTTCTCTACAGATAGAGAACAGAGGCTTGGACAAGTGGTATCCAGCTAGGGGACAGGGCACAAAATACAGGCTATGCACAGATGGCAGAGGTCTGCCTAGTCTGTGAAATGGGAGATGATCCTGAACAGCTGAGAACATCTTAGTTCCCCATGCACAAAAGTGCTTCTATGTGCTTTATAGCCTGGTAGGTCCTTTAACCAAACTTGAAAAGCAGGCATCCTTAGTGGCAAGCCTGTTCATGAAGCATGCTGGGACTCAGGAAAATACTCCTGAGCCCATCTTTTCCAGAGTCAAATGCCAGTGCCAAAGAGGATGTTAAGATGCCAATTCTACAGCCTGGACTGTGTGTGTGGGGTGGGGGGGGGGGGGGTGTTGGATGCTAAGATGCCAATTCTATAGGGGGGGAGGGGAGAGAGGGAGAGAGGGAGAGAGAGAGAGAGAGAAAGAGAGAGGGAGTGTGTGTGTGTGTGTGTGTGTGTGTGTGTGTGTGTTGGTACTGGGAAACCAGGCTCTGTTGGGAGTGGGAAGTGGTGTCACAGAGCTGGAATAGGAAGGGTTGTTGAGCTACCTGCCCCCCTTTCCCTCCAGGCTGGTTCCTCACCTGCAGCAGCTTCAGGAGAGCTGCAGAGTCCCTGTCCCCAGTGGAATTGAAAAGCAAGACACACACCTCAGGCCCACTGCACCAAGGAAAGGAAAGTGATCAGATGGCAGTCCTAACCACAACCCTTTCCCCAAACCCAACCCCTCCCCACTGGTCCAGTCCACTCTGGCCCTGTGTCTACCCCAGCCTTTACTACAGGCCCCATGATAGAGCAGACCCCACCCTCATCCCTGTCTTACTGGATACTCACTCACTGAGCCTCTCCTGCCTCTGCAGGGCCTGTCTGAACCAGCGCACACAGGCCTGCACACTACTGCTGGTGTGTGCACCATCCAGGTACCAAGTGAGGGGTCCACGCCGCAGCACCTGTGTCCGGCCTGGCCACTCTGTGTCTCGAAGCCCTGGTGAAGGTAGATAGGCAGTGCTGCATGCAGCTCCTTTTCAGATCCCAGCACCTGCCCTCCCAGCAGGCTGTCCCTTCTGCTCAGAATCCTCATTGGCCTAAGAGCCTCTTGATTAGTGACAGTCACCAATAGCTCGTGCAACCTTGAGTGGATGTAGCTATCTAGTATTATTCCATTTGGCAGCCAGAAAGCTCTGCTCTTATAGGCTACAGATGGAATATGATCAAGAGATTTACTCTAGGACTATCACTCACCCTGATGGCAGGCCTGACACACAGTAGGCACACTGAGACCAATTTCTGTAGGAATTTAACAGCATGAGCACCTACTATGTGCTGAGAGCTTAGTAGGAGCAAGAAGCAATAGCAAGCATGTCATCTACATAAACCTCATGATCTGATGATGACAGTTGTGGCAAGGACACCAACTACATCTGGCTGGGCACTTGGTCCTGCATCCTCTAGTCCCTGGGCTCAGCACCTTGGTGGTGTCATGTCAGGGAATCATGGCAGTCCCTGGCAGTGAGTCCTAACATTTCATTTGACAGATGAGGAAACAGGCTAGAAAAGATTCCTAAACTCAAAGTCAGGGAGGAGTACAGACCTTCAGGCACCATCCTGAACACCTTGGATATCCTCCACCTCCCAAACCAGATATCAAAAGAACATCTGATAGCTAGCTACTGAGGAGTTCAAAGCCAGCTACTACTTGCAATTCAAAGCCAGCAGGAAAGTCCATGAGACTATTAGCTCCAATTAACCACCAGAAAACTGGAAGTGGTGCTATGGCTCAAAGTGGCAGAGCAGTAGCCTCAAGCAAAAGAGCTTAGGGACAGTGCCCAGGCCCTGAGTTCAAGCACCATAACCAACAAAAAAAAAGAGGCTAAGATCTGAGGACCTCAGTTTGAAGGCAGCTCAGAGATAACTATCTCTCTGATGGGGCTGGGAAGGTGGCTCAGTGGTAGAATGCTTGCCTTGCATGCCTGAGGCCCTGGGTTCGACTCCTCAGCACCACATAAGCAAAAAGAAAAAAGCCGGAAGTGGTGCTGTGGCTCAAGGGGTAGAGCGCTAGCCTTGAGCTGAAGAGCTAAGGGACAGCGCCCAGGCCCAGAGTTCAGGCCCCACGACCGGACCCAAAAAAAAAAGAGATAACTATCTCTCTGATTAGCCAGAGGTAGAGGTATGGCTCAAGAGGTACAGCACCAGCCCTAAGTGAAAAAGGGAGAACACAATGCCCCCCAGTTCAAGCCCAGTACCAGCACAAGAAGAATGAAAGAAAAAGAAAGAAAGAAAGAAAGGAAGGAAGGAAGGAAGAAAGAAAGAAAAAAAAGGAAGGAAGGAAGGGAGGGAGAGAGGGAGGGAGGGAGGGGCCGGGCGCTGGTGGCTCACGCCTATAATCCTAGCTACTCAGGAGGCTGAGATCTGAGGATCACGGTTCAAAGCCAGCCTGGGCAGGAAAGTCCGTGAGACTTTGATCTCCAATAAACCACTAGAAAACCAGAAGTGGTGCTGTGGCTCAAGCGGTAGAGTGCTTGTCTTGAGCTGAAGAACTGAAGGACAGCGCCCAAGCCCAGAGTTCAAGCCCCATGACTGACAAAAAAAAAAAAAGAGGGAGAGAGGGAGAGAGGGAGAGAGAGAGAGATGGGGAGAAAGAGAGCAAGAAAGAGAGGGAGAGGGAGAGAGCAAGAGCGAGAAGGAGAGGGAGAGGGAGAGGGAGAGGGAGAGGGCAAGAGTGAGAAGGAGAGGGAGAGGGAGAGGGAGAGGGAGAGGGAGAGGGCAAGAGTGAGAAAGAGAGGGAGGAGAGAGAGAAAAAGAAAGGAGAAGAGAAGAGAAGAGAAGAGAAAGATCAGGAGGGGTTCAAAGACATGTAGTGGTCCTAGCCAGGCAGGAAGTTCCAACTCACCATGACGCATATGGGAAGTAGGTTGGAATACAGGTGCTAGGGGCAGCTGCCACAGGTTGCCTGGTCTGGATACCTTCAGCTCCTGGATGGCTGTAGATTGTGTGAAGCCCAATGTGCTTAGAACCCTCCCAGGCAGGTTCTCTGTGCTGCCCACCTGCCTGCCCAGATAGTCCACTCACTCTGCTGATGGTGCCGTTGCAGCCAGCAATTGGCCAGCTGCAAGGCCAAAGCTGCATTTGAACGCTGGTGCTCTCCCTCCAGGCCTAGGGCCAGTGGAGCGCCCCCTTCCTCCAGGGTTTCCAGTGGTGGACACAGGTAGAGAGGACACTGTAGGGACAGGGGCAAAAGCTGGTCAGCAGAGAATGCTAAAAGGCTCTTGTATAACTCCCCACCCACCAGAGCCCACAGATCCCACCAAGACCAGCTCACATCACCCATGTGTTCTTACTTTGTGTGTGTTGAAGGCTTTGAACTTAAGAGCTTGGATACTGTCCTTTAGCTTTTTTGTTCAAGGCTGGTGCTCTACTACTTGAGCCATAGCTCTACTTCTGGCTTTCTGCTGGCTAACTGGAGCCAAGAGTCCCACGGACTTTCCTGCCTGATCGAGATTCTCAGATCTCAGCCACCTGAGTAGCTAGGATTATAGGCATGAGCCACTGGCCCTGGTCACCCGTGTTCTCTTGAGGAGCAGCTAGCCTAGCTCCCTTGCATGTATAAACAAACAGACCCACCAGGAGGACACACCTCCCCAGCACTCCCCAGATCTCTCCCTACCCACTGATGCCTCCAATCAGACTCACTGAGATCTGCTGGGCTCGATCCTTCAGCACTGCCAGGGGACCTTCCGGCTGGAGCACAGTGAAGGCAGGGATGCCACGCTGCAAACAGGCCAGATGGAGTGAGGCAGGGGCTACAAGGGTCCCCCCACACATGCCCTTCTGGCTCCCAAAGACCATTCAGCCTCCCACTCCTCATTTGAGGTCAGAGGAGGCCGGACTAGGTGTAATCACACAGGGCCAGCGTAGGAATCCAGGCTCTGTGAAATGGTAACCCCTCTGCAAAACACCTTAATAGCAACAATAAAATTATAAAATACTATTTTTAAAGAAAGAAAGAATCCAGGCTCTGATGATCATCACTAAGGTCTCTCTCTCTCTCTCTTTTTTACTTCATGACCAGGACTTGAACTTGATAACTGATGCTTTTGCTCATTGGCTAAAGCTCTACCAACTGAGCCACACCTCCAACCCTGATCACTAGAGTCTCATCCTCAATTACACAAATGACTCTGTGCCACCCCACTACCCTGAGCCTACTGTGTACCCCGGCCTGCCTAATCACCTTAAAGATGCCCCCTTTCTGCCACGCTATCTTCTCCATCGTGTCCCCCAGAAGACTCGTGTGGTCAATACCAAGAGAAGACACTCCACACACCACAGGCTTCCTAAGGAGACAAGAGGGCCATGACAACCCTGTCCTGAGCCACTGGGCAGGAGGTGAAGTCTGGGTTTCTGTTCACCACAGGTCCCCACACGCTGCCTCACCTGATGATGTTGGTGCAGTCATAAGCCCCACCGATGCCTACTTCTACCACCGCCAGGTCCACCTGCAGACAGCCAGACAGCACGGCAGTGAGGAGGGCGATGACCCCAGGTTTTGAGGACCCCCACCTGCTGGGATTTAGTCCCCAAGGCCTCACAGATATAGGTGTCTGGGGGACACGCACCTTCTCTTGCAGGAAGATGTGGAAGGCCATGAGGGTAAGGAAGCGGAAGTAGGCAGGCATGGAGACACTGCTGCCATCCTGCACACAGGAACACTGTCAGTGCCCACAGCCCCATAGCCCTGCTCTGGGGAGACAAGGGCCTGGGACATGGGGCACACCCTGCCCCACTCATCTACCAGCCTTCCAGAAAGGGCACCTTGGTTTCCTCCAGACGGTGATAGAGGTGCCAGAAGTGCTTGCTGAAGAGCTCAGGGCTGATGGGCTGCCCGTTGATGCGGATCCGCTCTCGTACCTGCACCAGGTGGGGAGAGCTGCAGGGAGACCTGGGGTCATTGGAACTCCCTTCCAAGTCCCAAGGCCTTCCCTGCCCACCTGTCCTCTACACTGCTACTCCTCTGCTGAAACCCTCCCGAGGTTCTTCAATGCCCACAGGAGTCCCGGCGCCTTGCCACCACCTCCCAGGCTCCACAGGAATTGTGCCTCACCTTTGCTTATACTCTCCTTTCTAGACTATCTTTTTTTTTTCCTTTTTGCTTATGTGGTGCTGAGGAATCGAACCCAGGGCCTCATGCATGCAAGGCAAACGCTCTACCACTGAGCCACCTTCCTAGCCCTCTAGACTATCTTTTTTCATGTGTGCATTCTTTTTGTGTATGTGCCAGTACTAGGGCTTAAATTCCAGGCTGGGGCACTGTCCCTGAGCTTTTGTGCTCTTAAGGTAACACTCTCTTACTTAAGCCATAGCTCCAGTTCCAACCTTTTTTGATTGTTAATTGGAGATGGTAAGATTTTTCTGCCTGGGCTGGCTTTAAACCTCAGTCCTCAGATTTCAGCCCCCGGAGTAGTTAGGATTACAGGCATGAGCCATTGGTGCCCAGCTTCTACACTATCTTTAGTCCCTTCAGCCCTAACCTGTCATGGTGCCAGTCTCAATTAAAGTACCATTCAAGGTACCAGTCTAGCATGTTCTCTGGGCCCCAACAGTCCCTGCATTCCCCTTCACAAACAAAAATCAGTGACTCTGTTGGTATGTCTTTCAGCCTTGGAAGACAAAGCCTGTTTTCTGTGTTCAAGGTGCACCCCCAGGCTGGCCACATGGTGCCAAATCAATGGCTAGGGTGTTCACAAAAATATGTTAGAAGAGTAGAGCCAGATGCCAGTGGCTCATACTTGTAATCCTAGCTACTCCAGAGGCTGAGATCTGAAGAGTGAGGTTTGAAGCCAGCCCCAACAGGAAATTCTATGAGACCATTATCTTCAGTTTAACTACTGAAAAGCCAGAAGTGGAGCTGTGGCTCACATGGTAGAATGTTAATCTTGAGCAGAAGACACTAAAGGACAATAGCCTGGCCCTTTGTTCAAGCCTCAGTACCAGTAATAAATAAATAAAAAGCAGACAAAAAATAAACAAGCCAGGGGCTGGGAATGTGGCTTAGTGGTAGCATGCTTGCCTAGCATGCATGAAGGCCTGGGTTTGATTCCTCAGTACCACATATACAGAAAAAGCCAGAAGTGACACTGTGTCTCAAGTGGTAGAGTGCTAGCCTTAAGCCCAGAGAGGATAAGGGACAGTGCCCAGGCCCTGAGTTGAATCTCCAGGACTGGCAATAAAATAAAATAAACCAGCCAATAAACAGGGCTAGAGGTGCGGTTCCTACGGTAGAGCACCAACCTAGCAATTTGAGGCCCTGAGTTCAACTCAAAACAGAAAAGAAGAAAACTGAAGGCTGCTGACACTTGGTAAATGCTGATTTAATGTTCACTAAGTGAATAAACAATGGGTTCAGGAGAGACATGGTGCTGATCTCTAGGGAGAACCCTAGCCTCCACAGTCCCCCACAGAGCTACGAGTCACACCACTCCACAATTCAGTACCTAAAGAATCCTGTTTTCAGGCCATAGTTACGCAGGATATGCTCAGTGAAGGCACAGGTAGAGCCCTAGGAAAAGAAAAATATTATGTGGATAGGCCCTGCCCACCAAGAGGTTGCTTATATCTGTGTTCTGCTCCTTACCTTTCCCTTAGTCCCAGTGACATGGATGATATTCAGCCGGTCCAAGTCCTCCACCTGCAACAGACAAAGTCCTTACTTTAGCCATCACAGCCTCAGGAAGATGAGGATGGGGATGCCATAGGTTCTCCCTACCTACCTGCAGCCCACTCCGTGCCAGGTACAGCTCCATGGCTTCCAGCTGTGCCTGGGGATCACCTCTTTGGCGCTTCACCTGCTCCAGGTAGCCAGCATTGGTCTGTAGGGTGTTGAGCATGCGCACAGCATCCTGGCAACCATAGTTCCCAGGTAGCAGATTAGCTCACTAAAGGTTCTTAGGCAAAGAGGAACCCAGCACACCACAGCCCAAGTCAGGGCACCAAGCCTGCCATACCAGCTTAATGCCCTGGCATATAAGTAACAGGAAGGCAGCAGTGGCATCTACCCAGCTGTGGCAAAGATGGGGGCAGTTCAGCCCCACCCAGGGAGTGCCAGGCAAAGAAGGGGGAAAGGCTAACGGAACTAGCTGTTTCCTGCTCTGACTCCCCAGGCCTTGCCCTCCCCCACTTCGGTCTTTGCCCTCATTCGCTCCACCATTATAATGGACTCTAGTAACAGAACCCCAAGCTAGGGTCTTAGACTTCCAGAATTCCCGGAAGTTTTCATACAAACCAGAAGGATTTTAGGGTTCCACAATGTTAGCCTGAGAACAGCTGCTTGAAGCAACCAGAAAAAGAGCAGGCTCAAGGGGAGGAAAAGTGTGTCCCTGCTCACTTGGCAGGTAGGCCTGGCTTTAGGAGAGGCCCATCTAGGAGTGGGAGTGGGAACATTTTTTTTGGCCAAAATAAATGGCCAAGCCAGGAGCTAGTGGCTCATGCCTGTAATCCTAGCTACTCAGGAGGCTGAGATCTGAGGATCAGGGTTCAAAGCCAGCCCAGGCAGGAAACTCTGTGAGACTTTTATCTCCAATAAACCACCAGAAAACTGGGAGTGGTGCTCTGGCTCAAGCAGTAGAGCGCTCATCTTGAGTTGAAGAGCGCAGGGACAGCGCCCAGACCCAGAGTTCAAGCCACACGACGACGACCACCACCACCACCACCAACAACAACAACACAAAAATAAATAAATAAATAGCCAAGGCTGGTAGTGCATATCTGTAATCTAAGCACTTAAGAAGCTGAAGCATGGGTTGAGAAGGTGGCTCAGTAATAGAGTGCTTGCCTTGTATGCTTGAGGCCCTGGGTTCGATTCCTCAGCACCACATAAGCAGAAAAAAAAAAGCCGGAAGTGGTGCTGTGGCTCAAGTGGTAGAGTGCTAGTCTTGAGCTGAAGAGCTGAGGGACAGCGCCCATGCCCAGAGTTCAGGCCCCACGACCGGACCAAAAAAAAAAAAAAAAGAAAGCTGAAGCAGGCCAGGCGCCGGTGGCTCTAATCCTAGCTACCTAGGAGGCTGAGATCTGAGGCTCACGGTTCAAAGCCAGCCTGGGCAGGAAAGTCCATGAGACTCCTATCTCCAACAAACCACTAGAAAACCGGAAGTGGCACTGTGGCTCAAGCAGTAGAGCGCTCACCTTGAGCTGAAGAGCTGAGGGATAGCACCCAGGCTCAGAGTTCAAGCCCTACGAACGACAAAAAATAAAAAAGAAAGAAAGAAGCTAAAGCAGGAGAGAGCTAGGGCAGAAAGCTCAAGCTAGCCTAGGCTACATAACAGGATCTTGGTTCAAGAAAGGCAAGACAAAAATAAAAACAAGAAAGGAAGGAAGGAAGGAAGGAAGGAAGGAAGGAAGGAAGGAAAGGAAGAAAGAAAGAAAAAGAAAAGAGTTTGAAGATTCAAATCCAGTCATTCATCTATAATCCTAGGATTATAGATCTCAGGAGGCTGAGATCTGATGATCCCTTTTAGAAACCAGTTCTAAGCAGGGAAGTTTGGGAGACTCTTAGAATTGTGTCCTAAGGAAATTTACTTCCCCCCTCTCCCTAATCTTGATCTCCAGCCCTCAGGGCTCCAATCCTGTCACACTAGTGCCACTGACAGGGCTGGCATCACGTTGTGGACTCTGGCAACTGGCCCAGGTAACAACACCTGCAGATATTTTCTGTTTCCAGACTGTTGGGGACTCTACTGTCCATCTCCTAAATGCCAGGCGCTTGGATCTCCAATCTTGTGAATCCTGGAGATGCACCCCCAGATTCCCCCATCCCTTTCTTTCAAATCTAAATTCTCAAATTTGCTCCAATCCCTCCTCCATCTTGTCCTGCCAATTCAGACTCCAGAATCATCAGAACTCCTAGGCCTAATCTGAACCCCAATGGACAGGACCTTTCAGGTCCAATCACCAATGCCCTTCCCTTTGACAAGATACAACAGTGTCAGAATTCCTAGATCCTGCAGCCTAAGCTCAAGTTCCGGACCTGGTTCCCACCTGGGCTGCTCTAGCCTCCCTACATCCGGTCTTAGGATCTTGGGCCCCCATCCCCTGACCTTCGGCCTCCAGACGTCCCCGTCCCTGGTCCCTAACCACAGGAGCCCGGTCCCAACCCCCCGACCGGCTTCAGCTGGAGGAGCCGGTGCTGCTCAGGCCCGGCCCACGTGTCACTGCCTCCCGCCAGCCCGCTCTCCGGACACCTGGTACTCCATGCCGGGTTCCTGTGGCGCGAGCCGTGCGCTCAACCCTCGCCGCGCCGCGCACCGGATGATGGCACTAGGCCCACGGACCGCTGCCAGGAGCAGAGCCGCGCGCAGGCGGCCCGGCGCCCACGACATAGCCTCGACGCTGCCGCTAGCTAGGCCGGGAAAAGAGAAGACCCGCCTTGCCTCCCGCACAGACACGCCCCTCCTCTCCACCAATCAGAACCGTCCAAGACTGCCGCCTACACCAATGAAAAGAGGCGCCCTGGAGGGGTCCTGTGAGAGGCGGGGTCCTGTGAGCGGCACGCTCTCCAGCGTCCTCTCTTTTAAAGGGACATGCACTCCTTTCGCCACCATAAAAGGGTGCCCATCTGACAATATCCAGTCCCAGTTAGCTGCCGTCAGCCCTGTTGCAGACCAGAAACATCCCTGCACTGTCTCAACCTACATTGTGCTGGCTCTCCTGTCACGAATCACAACCAACGCCCAAGCCCCTGTGCTCCCTAACTCTTAACGACCCTGAGGAATCCAGGAAGCTTTCAGATCAAGTATCCCAGCTGAGGCCTGCAGAGTGTGGGGAGAGGTTTCCAGGCTAAGAGAAAGGGGAACGTGGAAAGCCAGGCGATTGGAGGGAGAAAACTAAACGCTGAACCGAACTTCCATCTGGTTAGGCCGGTTGCTGCTGAGTCCAGTCCCGTAAGGAATTTGACTGATCTTAATATCCAATTTGCATTTTGATGCTCCCAGGGGCAGCTACTAAGTGGAGAACAGAGATGTGAGGCGGGGAGGGGATGGGAGTGGCAAATCAAACTATCACAGATTGTTTGATTTCTTTTTTTGTTTTTTTGGGGGGGTCCGGTCGTGGAGCCTGAACTCTGGGCCTGGGCGCTGTCCCTCAGCTCTTCAGCTCAAGGCTAGCACTCTACCACTTGAGCCACAGCGCCACTTCCAGCTTTTTTTCTTTTTGCTTATGTGGTGCTGAGGAATCCAACCCAGGGCCTCAGACATACAAGGCAAGCGCTCTACCACTGAGCCACCTTCCCAGCCCCAGATTGTTTGATCTCTAAATAAGCAAATGACACACACACACACACACACACACACACACACACACACACACACACACCCCTCACACACACACACACACACACACAACCCCTCCATACTGGGGCTTGAACTCAGGGCCTAAGTGCTGTCCTTAGCTTTTTGGTTCAAGGCTGGTGCTCTACTACTTGACTCACTGCTCCACTTCTGGCTTTTTTGGTACTCAACTGGAAATAAAATTCTCATACTTTCCTCCCCAGGCTGGCTTCAAACCTTGATCCTTAGATCTAAACCTCCTGTGTAAAGATTACAGGCATGAACCACCAGCACCTGGTCTGAGTTTGGGAAGAGTCCATCATTGTTGGGAGGTCTGCTCTTCCAACACTGCTGGGGTCCTTCCTGTATGAGGAAACCATCCTTCCTATGTAACCCAGGCTGGACTTGGACTCCAGTTCCTTCTACCTCTACCTCCCCAGTGTTGGGATTATAGGCACCTGTCAACACATTCAGCTTTCTTGGCCCAGCTACAGAAATAGTTTTTCTCCGGATTTTTTTTTTTTTTTTGTCAGTCATGGGGCCTGAACTCTGGGCCTGGGTGCTGTCCCTGAGCTCTTCAGCTCAAGATGAGCACTCTACCACTTGAGCCACAGTATCACTTCCGGCTTTTTCTGCTTATGTGGTACTGAGGAATCGAACCCAGGGCCTCATACGTGCAAGGCAAGCACTCTACCACTGATCCACCTTCCCAGCCCCTGATTTTTTTTTTTTTTTGCCAGTCCTGGGGCTTGAACTCAGGGTCTGGGCACTGTCCCTGAGCTTCTTTTGCTCAAGGCTAGCATTCTAGAACTTGAGCCACAGCAGCCCTTCCAGATTTTTCTGTGTATGTGGTACTGAGGAATCGAACCCAGTGTTTCATGCATGCTAGGCAAGCACTCTACCAGTAAGCCACATTCTCAGCCCTAAAAAAAAAACAAAAATCAAAAAACTTTCGAGTAGTAGGATGTGAACTAATGAGTTTATTTGCTTTGCTATTCAGGCACTCTACCACTTGAGCCACACCTCCAGCCCTTTTTAGCTGGAGGTTATTTTTGTGATAGGGTATCATTTTCTGCATAGAACAGCCTGGAATTTGATCCTCCCATGCACACTGCCTGTTGTAGCTGGTTAGACAGGTGCAAGTCACCATGCTGAGCTTTTTCTGTTGTGATGAGATCTCAAGAATTTGCCAAAGTTGCCGGGCGCTGGTGGCTCATGCCTGTAATCCTAGCTACTCAGAAGGCTGAGATCTGAGGATCGCGGTTCAAAGCCAGCCCGGGCGGGAGAGACCATGAGACTCCTATCTCCAATAAACCACCAGAAAACCGGAAGTGGCGCTGTAGCTCAAGTGGTAGAGCGCTCGCCTTAAGCTGAAGAGCTGAGGGACAGCGCCCAGGCCCAGAGTTCAAGCCCCACGACCGACAAAAAAAAAAAAAATTTGCCAAAGCTAACCTGAACCAAAATCCTTCTGATATCAGCCTCCCAAGTAGCTAGGACTATATAGGCAGGAGCCACTACACCTCCCTTACATTTTTTTAAACATTTTTTATTGTTATTATAAAGGTGATATACAGAGGGGTTACAGTATATAAGTCAGGTAATGAATACATTTCTTTTTGGGCAATGTCACCCCTTCCCTCACTCTCTCCTAGTTTTTCCCTCTGGTCCCCACCCACAAATTGTAGTTTAACATAATGTATGAATACCACTGCTGCATTTGGGTTTTGGTTTTTTGTTTGTTTATTTTTATTTTTATTTATTTTTTGGTCTTGGGCTTGAACTTCTGGGCCTGGGCACTGTCCCTGAGCTCTTCAGCTCAAGGCAAGGGCTCTACCACTTGAGCCACAGCATCACTTCCAGTTTTCTGGTGGTTAATTGGAGATAAGAGTCTCACGGACTTTCCAGTCTGGGATGGCTTTGAACCGCAATCCTCAGATCACAGCCTCCTGAGTAGCTAGGATTACAGGCATGAGCCACCAGTGCCTGGCTTGCACTTGTTACATTTCTTTTAGTCTCTTTTTTTTTCTGCTGGTCTTGGGGCTTGAACTCAGGACCTGGGTGCTGACCCTGAGCCACTTTGTGCTCAAGGCTAGCACTCTACCACTTGAACCACAGTGCCCGTTCCAGCTTTTTCTGTTTATGTGGTACTGAGGAATCGAACCCAGAGCTTCATGCATGCTAGGCAAGCACTCTACCACTAAGCCACATTCCCAGTCCTTTTTTTATTTCTTTCTTTCTTGTTTCAGATGGTTGTGGGGTTTGAGCTCACAGCCTGGGCACTGTCCCTGAGCCTCTTTGTGCTCAAGGCTAGCACTTTACCACTTGAGCCATAGTACCATTTCTGGCTTTTGAATGGTTAATTGGAGATGAGTCTCATGGGGGCTTTTCTTACCAGACTGGCTTCAAACCGTGATCCTAAGATTATAGGTGTGAGCCACTGGCACCTGGCTTGGATGATGTATTTTTACTACCATTTCAAAAATGAATACTTGGCTAATGATGAGTATTATAACCAAAAACCATTCTGAGAACAAAGCTGTTGATGGGACAGTGTAGACATTATTTTGCTCATTTTATTTTAGCCAGGGGTCTGGTAGCTCATGCCTGCAATCCTATTTCAGAGGCTGATAATGGGAAAATTGCTATTCCAGGCCAGCCTAGGCAGAGAAGTTCATGAGAGTCCTTCTCAACCTAACTCTGGGCAAAGCAGTATAGACCTGCCATCTCAAGCTACCTTGGGAGGCTGACATTGGGAGGATCATTGTTCCAGGCCTGCCCAGGCAGAAAAATCCAAACTACTCTCTCCAGAGAGCTGGATTTAGAGGTACAGCCTGTGATCCCACAGACAAGGGAAAGCTTGTAATATGCAGATTTGTAGCTCAGTCACCTGCCAGGGAAACAGAACCCCATACTAAAAATAACCAGTGAAAAACAGTGCTAGAAGTGTGGCTCAGTGGTAAAGAGCATGAAACCCTGAGTTCAAACCCCTAATACCACAAAAGAAAAGAGAGGGGCTGGGGATGTGGCTTAGTAGTACAGTACTTGTCTTGCATACATGAAGCCCTGGGTTTGATTCCTCAGTACCTCATAAATAAAAAAGGCCAGGAGTGGCACTGTGGCTCAAATGGTAGAGTGCTAGCCTTGAGCATAGAGGTTCAAGGACAGTGACTAGGCTCTGAATTCAAGCCCTGGGGGGAGGGGAGGGGGAGAAATTCAGAAAGCAGCCTGGAAATTATTCCCTACATGATAATGATGGTTAGCTGTGTGGTGAAATGAGAGGTGACTATTGATTGTGTTAGTGTTATATGTATTGTGTTTTGGAGACAGGTCTTACTATGTAGCTCAGCCTGGCCTTGAATTTAAGATTCTCCTGTCTGCACCATCACACCTGGCTTTACAGCCCTTTGCTCATTTGCACTGTATACATTGTCTCCCTGGGAATGTCATAATTGGGAAAGAGAATTAACATATCCCTATGACACAGGAGGGCTGGTACCTTAGGACTCCTCTTGAACAATCCTTGTGTTTGACAGTTGGGGATTCTGAGGCCAGTAAGGGTTCAGCACCAACCTAGACCCAGGTGTGACTCATGGTGTCTTCTTTGGCGCTTCCTCCTCCAGGTCAGAGTCTACTGAGTTACTGAGCCCTGGTTAGGAGGGCTAGCATGGCACCTCCCCCCCCTCCATTTTCCAGATGAAGAAACTGATGCCTGGAAAGGAATTGCCTGCTAAGGCACTATGAAGCAGTAGCAGAGCAAATGCTGAGTAGAAACCCAGATCAGACGGATTTCTGTGGCTGCTGCTGACTTGAGTCCTCCCAGCAGGATGGGGAAACCGTGGCTAGGGTTTTTCATTCATAATGTGGGTTGTTCTGAGTAATTGTTGCTTAATGTGTTGCTGGCACTGTACTGAGTTATACACAGCTTGTCTCATTCAGCCCTCCCAGCCCAATTCCAGGAAGGTTGTGGGTTGGATTGTTTTGTTTTTAGTTTGCTTTGAGAGTCTTACTAGGTAACCCAGGATGGCCTCAAACTTGCAATCCTCCTGCCTCAACTTCTCAAATGCTGAGATTACAGGTATGTTCCAACATACCAGACAAAGATTGTGTTGAGACTCATTTCTCTGGGGAGATAAAGTCCTATGGTAAAAGCTGCTTAATCATTTATAGGGTCTGCTATGCCAGGTTTCAGACCCTAGGCTCCACCCCATGACCTTCCTGGCCTCTGCCCCCACTAGGCCTGTATACTGTTGGGTAACTACAGTTGCCTGGTCAATGGGGCTGTGGCCTTGAGCTGGTCCTTATTGCAAAGGGAATCCCCCACAAACTGCCACTGCTCCCAACTTCTGACATATGACCTCAGTTTTCTGTCTCCTGGTGAGGAGGTCAGAGCTTTGGATCCAAAAGTGACCCACCATGTGTGTCTAGGACAAGCCAGCCCATCTCTCCAGCCCTGGTACCCTTCTCTGCTGCCTGGCCAAAGGTTGTTTGTGTGGGGAGCCTGGGGGAGCTATAGCACTGGAGTTCAGCTAGGGCTGAGTCCTGAGGGAACGAGGCATCACTTATCTTCTGATCCCTCTTCTAGAGGAGGAAGCCAGGACTGAGTAAGGTAAAGCAACCTGACTGGTATCCTTTCTAAATGCTTACAACCCAGCTTGGAAGGTGGCTCAGAGGAAGAGTGCTTGCCTTGCATGCATGAGGCCCTGGGTTTGATTCCTCAGCACCACATAAGAGAAAAAGCCGGAAGTGGTGCTGTGGCTCAAGTGGTAGAGTGCTAGCCTTGAGCTGAAGAGCTGAGGGACAGCACCCCAGAGATCAGGCCCCACAACCGACTAAATAAATAAATAAAAATAAATGCTCACAACCCTAACTGGGCTCCCACCCCTAGCTCCAATCTCTCTGAGGCAGCTTCATCAAAGCTCATCCATCACCTCACTAAGTACCTTGTCCTCATCTGCCAAACTGTCCCCACTGCACAGGGGCTGTGGAAGCTGAATGAGGGCAGCACTGGACCAGAGCCAAGCCAGGACTCCCACTGGAAACTAAGTTCAGAACTAGCCAAGTGGCCAAGACTGTGGTTCCCTTGATCTCACCTACCACACCTTGCATAAAATGCAGCTAATACCTACTCAGGAGGCTAAGAAATGAGGATCACTGTTAGAAACCACTCTGGGCAGCAAAGTCCATGAGACTCCTACAGCCAATTAAGCACCAGAAACAGCTGGAACTGTGGGATTATGGCTCAAGTGGTAGAGCACTAGCCTTGCACAAAAATAGCTGAGGGACAGTTCCCAGGCCCTGAGTTCAAGCCCCACAACAGGCACCAAACAAAACACAAAGACACAAAACAAAAAACTACAGGTAATAATGAGCCACTCCTAAGACCCCCTTCTCAGTGTCCCAAGACTGGGAGCTTTGGGAAGGGCAAAGCTGAGCAGAGAATGGAGCAGCTGTGCAGCCACTGGGGTCCTTTGCACCGTGCTGGCTCTGGGGCAAGGCCTGCAGCAAGTATCATCCTTGAACCCCTGAAAGATACAGAAGGGAATGGGCATGGTGAGCCAGGAGAGCCTGCCTGCATTCCCCATTCTCCTACCTGGAAAGAGGCAGTTTTAGCTCCGTAAGGACGCTCCGCTGGGCCCTGCTGTTCCATTGTCAGTTCCCACTGTGTCCTCTCAACCACTGGCCAGGACAAAGGCAGGAACCTGGCACCTTTCATCCCTCCGTTTCCAGCTCCCCTCCTGGGTGGGGCACAAGTGACGCACAGGAGGGCCACCTCTGCCCAGGCTTCTATGAGGACTATGGGCCTTAGAGGGGAGGTTCCCAAGGTCAACCTTATCCTGCTGGGTTAGAGAAAGAATTTAGTGCCAGGGAGATTTACCTGATAGGTTCTGACCCTCATTCTGGGATCAGCCCAGACTGGACCAGGCTCCACCTGTGACCTGCCTACAAGCCTAGTCAGAATCGCCTGAGTTAAATAACAACTGAGCAGAGGTTAAAGGTAAGTAGTAGCAGGGACAGGGATACGAATGGGTGAGGAGGGAGAAAAGCAGGGATAAAGGGAAAACTTTCAGACTTTAGGGCTGGACTTCCTGCCAAGGTGACGCTGGCCATATCTGGCCTCTCTTGCAGCTCTTTATCAACCTACCTCCTCTTAGTTAGGATCCATTTTGCCCTCAACCCATCAGGGGACCAGGAGAGGGAAATGTAGGTCCAGCACATTGTATTACGACACTCTTATTTTCAAGACCCAGGACTGGAACAAAAGTCAGGACACTCACAGGTCCCAGTTCCCAGTCTGCAGAGCATGTACAAAGCTGGTCATAATGACAAAACTTGTAACCCCAGCTACTCAGAAGGTAGAGGGAGGAGGATAGTTTAAGGCCAACCTAGGCTATGTATCTAAACTCTTTTTTTTTTGCCAGTCATGGTGCCTGAACTCTGGGCCTGGGCACTGTCCTTCAGCTCTTCAGCTCAAGGCTAGCGCTCTACCACTTGAGCCTCAGCACCACCTCCAGCTTTTTCTGTTTATGTGGTACTGAGGAATCGAACCCAGGGCCTCAGGCATGCAAGGCAAGCACTCTACCACTGAGCCACCTTCCCAGCCCCTGTATCTAAATCTTAATAAAACAAAACAAAAAAAAAAAAAAGACTGGGAAGGTGGCTCAGTGGTGGAGTACTTGCCTTGCAGGCATGAGGCTCTGGGTTTGATTCCTCAGCACCAAATAAGCAGAAAAAGCTGGAAGTGGCATGGTGGCTCAAGTGGTAGAGCGCTAGTCTTGAGCTGAAGAGCTGAGGGACAGTGCCCATGCTCAGAATTCAGGCCCCATGACCGACAAAAATAAATAAAAACAATTTTAAAAATGCAAATAAAAGGGCTGGAACATGGCTCAAATGGTAGAACACTAACACTGGGGAAAAGGGAGGGGGGGATCCTGAATGCAATCTCCAATACTAAAAAAAAGCCAGGTGACTCAGGATGTGCAACAAAGTTGATTCACGGCTCTAGCCATTCCGTGTTCTTCATGCTGGTCACAACTCTAGCTAAGATTAAGACCTAAACATCCAGATTCAAAACAAGCCTGGGCAGGAAAGTCCAAGAGACTTATCTCCAACTAGTCAGTAAAAAGCTGGATGGGGGCTAAACTCCAGCTACTCATGCCTGTAATCCTAGCTACTCAAGAGGCTGAGATGTGAGGATCTCCCTTTAAACCCACTCTGGGTAAGATAGTCCAGAAGACTCCAATAAACTTAAAAAAAAAAAAAAAAGCCAGAAGTAGCACTGTGACTCAAGTGGTAGAATGATAGCCTTGAGCAAAAAAAAGCTCAGGGAAAGAGCTGAGAGGCTGAGTTCAAGCTCCAAAACCAGCAAAAAAAAAAAGAAAGCTGGATGTGGAAAGGGCACCAATGGCTCAAACCTGAAATTCTAACTACTTAAGAGGCAAAAAGCCCAAGGTGGAGCTGTGTTGAGCTCAAGTGATGAACGCCAGCCAAAAGCTCAAGGCTAGCTCTCAGCACCCAGGCTCCAAATTCAAAACCCAGGATTGGTCAAAAAGAAGTAGCTTTCAGGGATGGGAAGGTGGCTCAGTGGTAGAGCGCTTGCCTTGTATGTCTGAGGCCCTGGGTTCGATTCCTTAGCACCACATAAGCAAAAAGTAAAAAGCCAGAAGTGGCGCTGTGGCTCAAGTGGTAGAGCGCTAGCCTTGAGCTGAAGAGCTGAGGGACAGCGCCCAGGCCGAGTTCAGGCCCCATGACTGGACCCAAAAAAAATAAAAAGTAGCTTTCAGAACTGACATAAAATGCCTGTCCTTTTAAGCTAGCTGATACTGATTTCAGTCTCAAGTCAGAGGGACTGTTGCTCCTCAAAATAACCCAGCACCCTCACGTTGTCCTGGCCTTCCAGCTCCCACCCCAATACTGGATCCTTCCAGCCCTCTTTTCTTCTAGCTCTTTTCTGCCAAATATTCCCACCCCCTTAAGCCATCTTTGCAAATCTGGTTGATTCGTCACTCCAACCATTCCCTCTTTTTCCACCCCAGCCACAGCTCAAGCAAGAGGCCCAATCAGTCTCCTGTGTGCTCAGCATCCAGCGGGCTGCCAAGGCAGCACTCTTCTCCTGTGCCAGGCACAGGGCAATAGGGCATCACAGTTACCCGCCCTCTGGGAGCTTGACCAGTATTCTGGAAGGTACCCAGGGGAAAAAAAAAAGACAAGTGTCCTCTTGGATGAATTGGAAGAGTCAGGATTTCCAGTGACCTGACCGGCGGAACACTAACGCCTGCCTGTGGGCAAGAACTGAGCGTCTAAATGCAGAAAAGGAGCGTACAGATGCATACTGGAAAAAAGGCAACTTTTAATTGTAACTGACCATATGTCAACTAGGAATGTCTCTGAACAATTGAACAAAGCACAATAAAATTCTCCTATTGAAGAAACCAAGAGTCCTCACTGGCCCTGGTGCCCCTGAGGGCTAGGCCAAGTGCAGCCTGGCCCCGGGGCCAGCAGGCTGGACTTGGGCTCCCTTCCCAGCTCTATTCCCCCCAATTCCAAGTCACAAACTTCTCACCTCTGGGGATGGCAAGGGACTGTTCCCTCCTCCCACAGCCATGAGTTTATATAAAGTCTCTGGCCGGCAGGCCTCCCACTCCACTTCTAATGTCAATGAAGACTACCTGGGCACCGTGCTGGAACCAAGGGCCAAGGTGGCCCTAGCCCCACACTCTCTTGGCCTCAGCCAATGTTCCTTCCACGCCAGTCCACTTGCTGGTCATTCCCAGTGCCCAGTGTGGGGAGCAAATAAACTATGTGCTGGAAGACAACACTCAGATGCCCCACTGGTCTCCGCAATACAAGTCAGTGACGCAGAGGAAACAGGAGGCCTGCAGTGGCTCTCAGAAAATGCGTTCAAACTCTGTCTGATTGGTAGTGGCTGGATTTCTGCTCTGGTTGGTGGACTGCTGGGTGATCTGGCTGCCCTTCCGGCGTGGTGGAGCCAGGTACTCAAACATGGATGTCAAGTGGGTTGATAGCATGCCCTTGAGGTCCGAGGGCATGGGGTCTGACCAGAAGAAGTCATGGTTGAGGGCATCGTCGCTGTCGATGCGCTGTGTGGGGTCCAACACCAGCAGCTTGTCAATGAGGTCCAGGGCGTAGGGGTCACGCACATAGGCCTTTAGCCTGTCCTTCACCTTCCGCTTCTGGCCCTTGACCAGCTCTAGCTTTTCAAACAGTTCATACTTGTCCACGTTTGGCCACACCTAGGAAAGTGTGGAGAAGAGAGTTGGGGGAGGGCAAGTGTGCTTTTTTTTTTCTCCTGCTGCTCAAGTACCCAAAGGGCTAAATATACCCTCATTAGAGGAAGAACTGAACCCTTCAAGGCAAATGTGACAATGGCCACCACAGACGTGGCACATGCTGAAAGACACAGCACCCATCCAGACCCAAGCACATTTGTTTCACAGAATCACAGCCCAACACTGACTAAACTCTTCCTGAGGGCAATGGTTTGTATCATTAATGAGTCTCAAAAAGCCCTTGATCTAAAAGGGTAATCTCCACATGGTGGTGCTATTGAAAAGGATTAGACGCTTCCAAGCTCCATTCCATTTTCTGGCCTTGGAACGTATAGCTAGTGGCTACCTGTCCTTTCCTCTCTTCGCTTCCTGACTGCCATGATGTGGCAGCTTTTCTCTATTACCTGCTCCCACACAGGATTGGCCTCACCTCAGATCTAAGCCACAATGGAGTAAAAATTTGAAATCATGAACTAAATATTTCCTTTTTTCCCCTGGTACCAATAAAGGGGGCTTGACCTGAGGGCCTGTCCCTTAGCTTTCTCACTCAAGGCTAGGGCTCTGTTTTTGAGCCATGCCTTCACTCCAGCTTTTTTCCTTTTCTTTAGATCCAAGACAGGGACTGGACCTTAGGACCTACCACTTTCACTCACTGGCTAGCGCTTTACCAACTGAGACGTGCTTTCAACTCCCACTTCTAGCTTTTTGGTGGTAAGTTGGGGATAAGTCTCAGGAACTTTTCTGCTCAGGCTGGCATCAGACTGTGATCCTCAAATCTCAGCCTCCTGAGGAGCTAGGATTATAAGCCTGAGTTACCAGCACCCAGCTCTTTCCTACTTTAGGGAAAAAATCTTATTATTTTAAAAAAAAAAATTTTTTTTTGGCCTGTCCTGGGGCATGAACTCAGGGCCTGGGTGCTGTCCCTGAGCTTCTTTTGCTCAAGGCTAGCACTCTACACCATTTGAGCCACAGCACTACTTCTGGCTTTTTCTGAGTAGTTTAATGGAGTCTCACAGACTTTCTTGCCTAGGCTAGCTTCACTTTATTTTACCTTTTTTTCTATTGTGAGGCTTGAACTCAGGTCCTGGGTACTGCCTGAGCCTCTTTGTGCTCAAGGCTAGCACTCTACCACTTGAGTCACAGTGTCACTTCTGGCTTTTTCTATTTATGTGGTACTGAGGAATTGAGCCCAGGGCTTCATGCATGCTAGGCAAGCAGTCTACCACCGAGCCATATTCCCAGCCCTTGGGGCTGGTTTCAGAGATCCTCAGATATCAGCCTCCTAAAATTACAGGCGTGAGCCACCAGAGCCCAGCTATTTTTGTCTTTTTTTGTGGGGGCTGAACTCTGGGCCTAGGCGCTGTCCCTCAGCTCTTCAGCTCAAGGCTAGTGACCAATCTATCACTGGAGCCAGTATCACTTCCGGTTTTTTCTGCTTATGTGGTGCTGAGGAATCAAATCCAGGGCCTCATGCACGTAAGCCAAGCACTCTCCCACTGAGCCAC